TAGCATCACTCCAAACTATAACTGCACAAACATTTATTCTAGCGTCATATCTTACTGCAATTATAAGTTATTTTTTCTTAATTATTTTTTGTTACTAATTTAACGATACACACATAGTCGTTTATTCTTGTTCTGTGTTCATAAACACGCCTATTAGACTGTTTGCGCATTTCACGTCTCCTTTATTTCTATTCCCTTATTTTCTGCATTTCCTTCTTTAGACTCAATTCAATATTCTTCTCAATTGCACAGACCCGATTTATTATTATTAATATTCTACTATTATTGCTCAAAAATTTTTTTAAATGGCCAGTAGAATGCTGACATTATTGAAAATTGTGTATTATTGCATTTTTTTCAAGAAACCCGAAATGGTTTCTTCACAACACTTATGTACCCATAAGATGTTTGTGAATAATAATAATAAGTCTATCATGTGATCGAACTCGTTTTTCGCCAACCTTAGTTTTTCAGGAGCTAGTCATCGTGCTTTAGAGAATACAGGTGGTCCTCTATTCATGATGCGATGTGTAACGTTGCTGGTTACACACGGTAGTTTCGGTTGAGTTTGTTGTATCCCAGAGTACTTATCAAGTAGTGGTTGATAGAGTGGGTCTATCATATGCTTAATTATGACTGGGGATAATCTGCAACCGGAAAAGGAAGTTACGCAAACGGACAAATTAGTGTTTCCGTCTACTAGCCGCCGTTTGCGCGTGTCGATGATCAGATTATGGTGTTGTAGAAGATCCATACCAATGATTGGCATAGAAACATCTGCAACAACGAAGATCCAGTGAATGGGTTTACGTAAACTCACGTTAAAATAAATGTACCTTTTGCCATACGTAGCGATAGTTTTTCCGTTTGCCGCCTGTAAGTTTAGAGCCGATTCGTGAAGCCGGTCGTTAGGATTTGCTGGGAGAACGCTAACTTCTGCGCCAGTGTCGACGAGGTAGCGAACTCTCGTTGTCACATCTGTGACGTATAACAGACGACTATGTTTGCCGGCTACGGTTGCCGTTAACGCGTGCCGGCTTGGAAGTTTCCCGAATTGTTTTTCGAGTCAGTCGGTTTCGTGTTGGGAAAATTGCAGGGTTTTCTGCAATTTCTGGAAAACTTTCCATACTGGTTATGATACCAGCACCAGTCGAGGTTATCTGTCTCTCGTGGTCTAGAGACAGATCGCTTACGAGAAATGCTTCTACGTGGAGTGTGCGAGCGATTACGGTCGTTACGAAGACTAAGATAACGCGTGAGTGTATGACATAACTCGGTTATGTCATTCTGAGTCGTTTGAGGCTTTTCTTTGACTGAAAAAACCTCTGTCGTAGAAGATTTCGTAATTTCTAAAATGCGGTCGATAGATGCAGCCAACTCGTCTAAGGCGTTGTTCTGAAACGAGACCAGAACTGCTTGCACCTGTTGGGGAAGTTTTGACAAGAAAAGTTGTTTGAATAGACCTTTGTCGAAAGTTCTTGGGCCCATAACCTCTCTCATCCGTTGCAACATGTCCGTCGCAGAACCGTGTTGCAGGTCGATGTTATTGAAGAGTTGATCTAACCTTTGTCGATCGGTTAGGTCTCCTCGTTTAGGAATCAAACGTTTCAAGGTTACGTAAGATTCGGAAACATCACTAGTGAACATACTAGGTGTTACGTACCTGTTGAATTTGCGCGGCAGTGCCTTGACTACCGCGAGGAATTGTGCACGTGTGTCGTTCACGCCATGCTCGCGGAAGTCGGCTTCTGCATAGCAGAACCAGGCTACGATATTGTCGGGCCAGAAAGGCATCAGTTGAAACGAAGGTGGGGACAAAGTCATAAGCTTTAGTACTTTGGGTGCCTGTTCAGTCATGATGAAATATGAAGTACGATAATGAACGAGGGGAAATATGTATATATCCAAGAAAAAACACGAGAAAAAACACGATGTTTAAAAAAATAAGGCAATGATATATAAAAATCCCAAAAAGGGACAGACTCACAGTTGCAATTAGGTGTATCAGATCACGTCGGTCTCACCAATGAAGATGACACAGGTATTCAGTGTTTGACAACGCTTTTATCAGCAACGCCTTCTAATATAATTCGTTCTCACCCAGAGAAATCAGAAGACAGAGTCGAGGAGATCGGAAGAGTGTATTTGGCGATTACCAATATATCCGAATTCTCTGATCTAATCTGGCTAGCGATTGCGGTTGATGTTGAGCACAGCGTTACCACACGTGATCTGGTGCGGATGCATGACCGAGCGCCTTCAGCTAGATGAGTCCACTAAAACATATGGTCAGCATACAATGTCGAAAACTTACAGAGCTATTTATTTTGGGGATTCATTTACCGCTACAATTATTAGTGAATTACAAATAAATTTTGGTGCCAGAATTGAAATTACATTTCCTTGATATTCTAGTCTTACTCTTTAGGTGCACTAATCGACGGTGGTTCGAAAGTGGTGCATCGCAGAATTTGGAATTGACATACACTTTGACACACCGTTTAAATATATCTTCTAATTCCTTCAATAGTTACCTATGTTTTGTCTGGCCTTGAGGTCATTTTGTAAGAAGGAATTTCAGACGGTAATTTTCCGAATGCTGGGTATCCGCGACACTTTCATTGGTGATTTGAACGTGAGTTCGGTGCAAATGGTAGGCTGGATGCCTAAAACTAGGGGTGTGTCCACTACAACTAGTGCGACCATCGTAGCCATCGAAGACTTGCAACTAAATTTATTCTAAGGATTTGTTAACAACTTAAACGACACCGACCATATCACAAAAGCTGTCTCAGTATCGCACACCGTCTTACTGTATGTTTCTTCCCATCAGCATTCTGGAACTAACGGGGCATTTTGTGTCTAAGTGTTTCTTCCTAGGTTATCAGATAAGTCGACTCGAACTACTAAAAACTGTTTTCAGTGTTTAATGAAGATCTCCTACATTATAACACCCAACCACATAAGAGATACAACTCCTAACCTACTCACCTCACTAAGAGGCTCTTATCTCTGAAGAAGACAGTACAGAAGCATTTGAAAGGGCATGAATGATTATTGGAAATAGTTGAATTTGGCATACGAACTGGGAAATCCTGGAAGCGTTCACTTCGGACTTCAAGAGTCACAAATGGACCGTTATTTAAGCTAGAGATAAATCAGTGTCAACACTTTGAGTTATTGTATTTTAGAATTTTAAACAAGACACGGAAACAGTTACAAGGGAATTATTAATTGGCACAAACGATACAATACGACAATTAGGTGTCAGTGCAGATAGAGCCTCTTACAAGAATTGAAAAGCGGTAAATCTGATTCAATCGTTCAACAAGAGGCTGTCAGTTTACTTCAGGAACTAGTAGTTGTATAATTCAACCAAACAAAGTTCAAAAGATAAAGGCATCAAGGTGACTGATGAAACTGTCCTTCGGTTGATAACTAACCTCAAACCTTGTAAGATACCGGGCCCTGACGGGTTACATCCACGGTTGCTGTCATCTCTTGCGGACATTATTTCAAAACCGCTTGCGACACTTCAACATGTCCCTCTCACTCGCTCAACTTCCTAGAGATTGGAAGGATGCTATAGTTAGTCCTATATTTAAGGACGGTCAGCGACAGATAGTATCTAACTACCGGCCTGTCAGTCTAACTAGCATAGTCGTTAAGTTACTCGAAAAGATAATTCGGGTTAGGTTGCTAAGCCACATAGATTTACACAATCTGTTAGCTCCTGAGCAACACGGATTTCGTAACAAGCGTTCATGCTTGACTAACTTGCTTATTGCGAGGGAGGATTGGACAGCAGCCCTAGATCACGGTCTGTCTGTCGACGTGATATTCGTAGATTTTAGCAAAGCACTTGACAAGGTTTCACACGTAGGTCTTATGCAGAAGCTCACGAGCTTCGGAATAATAGGTACTGTACATGAGTGGATGAGAAATTTCTTATGTGACCGCAGACAGAGAGTTAGGGTCAATGGAACGCTATCCGATTGGAAGCCGGTCAAAAGTGGTGTACCCCAATGCACCACCTTAGGCCCACTGCTCTTCCTTCCCTACGTTAATGAGTTACCGCTGTTACTTAGGTCGTCGACATTATTGTTTGCGGATGACGTAAAAATCTGGAGAACAATAAAAAGTGCGGCTGATCATGTGGATCTTCAAGCTGACTTAGACGATTTAGTTAGATGGGCTCGAGAGTGGGGCTTAGAAATCAATGCTAGGAAGAGTGTACTAATGCACATCGGTCACGGTAATAGTTACCGTTACACTATTGAGGGTAAACCTCTTCCATGCGTTCAAGAGCATAAGGACTTAGGGGTAATATTAAGTCATGATTTAAAAACAACTGCGCATTGCAAAGCAGCCGCTGTCAAAGGTTTTCGTGCGTTATGGTCACTTCGCCGAGCGTTCAAATCTTTTGACGAGGAAACGTTTCGAATTTTATATCAAAAAAAAAAAAAACCACATTTAGAGTACTGTATCCAAGCAGCTATCCCGTGTCTGATAAAGGATACTAACTCCCTTGAGCGTGTCCAGCGTGTGGGAACGAAATTAGTGAAGGGTCTTTCTAGACTCCCTTACGATGAGCGCTTAAAACGCCTAAATCTTTTCCCCTTGTCGTATCGTAGGACACGAGGTGACCTTATACTGGCATTTCGTATCTTTAATTATGATTTGGGTGTTAATATGTCTTATCTTTTTGCTCCCTCCAGCACTAATAATCTCCGAGTTCATAGCAAGAAGGTTCATAAACCACGATCTAATAAACTTAAAGTGGGATCCCGTTTTTCTCATCGAGTAGTCAATCATTGGAACGCCTTACCCGAACAAGTGGTATCAGCCCCATCAGTGAATACTTTCAAGGAAAAGCTGGACCTTCACTGGAAAGCAATGTGTCAGGATTAACACAGGTTCATCAACCTACTATCCTTATTACTGAAGACTGAAGGTCAGCACATCTCAAGGCCGGGTAGCTGTAAGTTATTTAAAATCTTGTCCATAAGTGTCTGCTGGTCTGTTTTTGTTGAGATCTTGTTTCTGCGAATAACCCTTCACCAGTGAAGATGGTACCCAATAATGTGTTACAAGGTTCAGTCTTCAACCGTTCTCACCTCCAATATTGGGAGATATCTCCCTATTTTAGGGAAGATGTCCTGTTTGAGTAAATTGTGACGAGACCGCTACAGAGAAATTTGGGGAACTAACACAAAAACCCCGAAATTTCCCTAGAATCTTACGACACTCATGGCTTTTTCCTAAAATTCCCCAAACTTCGGAGAAACTACCACATTTCTGAAGACTTCAGAGAAACCCCAAAACTCACACAAAGTTCCTCAAAATTTTCCAGAGATAGTGAGATTAGTCGGTATTCTGTTGGTGTTTCTGCAGAAACTCTAATCATGGGATAAGATATGATTAGGCGTATAAAGACCGAATTAGTGAAATATTTTAAGCCTACAATATTACCTAACTAACTGTCGTTTTTGGATGGCTTGCAAGTCACATATGCTGGCAATGTGGATGAATTTGTATCTTCAAGTAACATGTGGCTTGATGTGTCGCATACATGACTTATAGGTTTATGAACTGGATATAACTTCTTGAAAGATGCTTTTATGGCGTCAGAAACATATGATTCGGACCATTCAGATTTCCAGATAGTTTGAAAATGTTCATATGAGAATCTGTTTTAGTCGCTAGAATGAGGCACAATACAACCATATACTGTTATTTTTCGTGTGGACTAATTAATCATACACATGCCTGAGATTCGCGTAGAATGGTGTTTTTAAGCCTTCGAATGATGTAAGTTCAAGGATCTAAATATTTCATCTTCTGTGCTCAGCTTCATTTTGAGAAGGATAGGAGGCTAGAACACCTGTTACTTCTAAATATAGGGTCCCTCGGCTCAACCAACGTTCTATTAAAACATCGACAAATGGAGCTTAAGTCGACTGTCGAGTTAAGAAGTTTCAGTCTTATTGATTCGTTGGGGAATTCAGCCGTTCATAGATATGTAGTTTGTTATGGTCTTGTGAACTTGTGGGGATCTCGTCATAAATTTTCTGTTTCGAGAGCCAATCAAAATGAGACCCTATGAGATGCGAAATTATTATTAGACAGTTTGAGAATTGTAGCCAAGTCACATCTAGCCTTCCTATATGACAAGCGGAGTAGGTTTAGTTTAGCTAGTTTATCGCCGTACGGTAGCTCTGGGATTCCGAGAATCAAATTGTTTGTGGTTCTTTAAGTATTTTTCAACTATCTATTGTCTTTTTCAGGCTTGAGCTGACTGCTCGCATGCAATAGTTGAATTTAGGACGAACGAATACTATGTGTGAAGTCGAAGGTTCTATCATATACGTGGCCAAAGGCTCTACTTATCGACTAGAGGATTCTGAAATTTTGGCAGTTTTCGCGACTTGACTGATAATGACTCTTAAATCAGTGTGTGTCTGAACAACAGGTAGATATCATTCACCGTTTATGTGTCCTTACCTTGGTGACCAATATACAACGTAGTACATTTTGAAGCACTTATCGGTAGCGGTCAAATTCTAGACCATTCAGATACTTTCTGCAGGTCATTTTGAAGCTCCGAAGTACCACCTATACTTTCCATCTTTCTCCATACCTTGATATCGTCGGCATATAAGGAAACCGACGATGATAGGCGATAAAGTAGGTTGTTTGCATATAAGAGGAATAACACTGGCCCCAAAGCTGTACTTTGGGGCACTCCACTAAACACAATTTTACAGCTAGACAGCTTAGAGTCAACCCATACACTTTAGTTGACGCCTACCAGAAAATCGTTTATCCACATAAGCGGTTTACCTTCAATCTCGATATCACGACTTAGACAACAGCATGTTATCCGGAGTTTTGTCAAGGGCCTCACTGAAGTCGATGAAAGCCACATCCATAGTTAACTTTTTATCTGTAAGAGAACATCAGCTTTCTCGAGCTATTAATAATTTCATGAAGCATAAATAACCTGTTTTAAATTCACACTGCTTTCAGAAATGATTAGTTTTCGTCTGGATACTTGTTTAAGTTTTTCCGAATGACCTTTTCATGAACCTTAACAACCACGCTGGTTAGGCTTACGGGCTGATTGTTCCCAGGTGTTTTTTTGAAGACAGGACTTATTATGGTGCTATTCCAGTCCTTTGATGATATACCCTGGGCTACAGATAGATGAAAACACATGCTTAAGTGATTAACACCATTATTACTTATGTAGCTTCTTATTTTTCTTCGACATATGTGCTGCCAAGTTTAACAGTAATGATAAATTCTTAACCGCTTGGAATCAGTTTCTGTATTACATTGCATGCTACAATGGCTTCTTTAGATCAATTTCATTTTCTTGTGATACAATAAATTGCTTCTTATCTTTCATGCTCCATGTTCTGCTACATGGTGTTTTTGTTGGTACAAAACTGACCTAATTTTCCCAAACTCAACATTGTGAAATATTCTTAATTGATTTTTAAATAATATTAGGTACATGTAATTCGGCGTTTCCAACTATTTTGAAGATGACTATTTCGAAAAACATGCTTGTTATTTTTGTTTTCCTCTTCCTCGACGTCGTAACTGTGAGTATGATTCTACCGTGGATGCCTTCTCTTTTAGAAACATACGAGTCTGAAAAAGTAAGTTGCATTATTTGTATATTACAAAAGGAATGGTTTTATATTTTGTCCAAGAAATATATCCAATACCTGGGTTTTTTTTTGGGACTTCAAGAAGGTTCTACATGGGACAGAGTATTCATTGGAGGTATGCTTCTCAGTTTAGCAGCAATATTTTCATTTTAGGCCTTCTGTCGTCATTATCATCCTTGGTGCAGTTTGTATCGTCGCCTGTAGCCGGAGCTTTATCAGACTATTTTGGCAGAAAATCGGTCTTAGTTGTCCTTCAGGTTTGTGGTGATATATATACATATATATGACTTGGCTGTTTTCATCCATAATTTTCCTGAGTAGCATAAAGACATCGTTTTAGAAAACGTCAGTAACAGTTGTGTAACTTGCGTATAATGTGGAAAAGTAACACGGTTTATGATGTATCAGCATATTCTTTTAAATAACTTTAGCAGAATGTACTTTGCGTGCAATTGGAAATAACTACTATTGTAGAGTAGGTAGAGAAATCCGTAGATGTTTTAGTTGATAAGGATGATTTTATAATTCAAGGGCAAACTAAATCAATGCAGTTAAGATTCCAATCGTAGAAAAGTGGAAACAATTGCTGACTAATTGTGCTTTAATACTGCTATTAAGTTGTGAATGTGAAGTAAATTACATTGACCTACTGGGTTTTCTTAACGCAAACTCTTCAAGGCTATTCTTCTTTTAATTATGGCTGAAGTGCAAAAGATTCAATAGTAAAATGACGAATGAATTAAAATATTTTTCTTTCTTCAGTATACTACGATAACACGGTAATAATACTGATCTGAGTTACCGAGCTCACAATACCGCTAGATTGAATAATCGAACGACCCGCTAGATCACGTTACACCAGCTACCCGACTCACGACCAAGAGCAAAGAGCCAGATTAACACTAGACAATACTTTATTCTACAAAATTGAATGCTGTTACTCTCAGTTAGTCCGGAGTATAAATTAATAAGAGGGAATAAAATCATATATTTAATAATCATTAGGCTCCACGCCTGTCTGTCCACACTCAGCGGTCAATAACACTTACTTTCCTTACATGCTTACTTCCTTACGCCTGTTATCCTTCGTAGAGGACAATTGGCCGCCACCAGCATTTTCCATGCAACTCTTTCCTGTGCAATTCTTTTAATATCTGCTTCCGATTGCCGACACAAGGAGGAATAAGGAGATCAAAATTTGGGAGAACACAAAGAGTGGATGCACCTGCACCATTGCAAACGATTTTGAGCCATGTCATTCAAGGTCTCTAACCATTGGTTGCTATCATCCCGAGGATCACCACCAGGTAGTCTACGCCTACCAACATGACTCAGTACACTTGTCAGTGACATCATGAACTTGTGCCATGTTTTGCTCTGGCCGTCCCTAGATTTCTTCTAACCTACTCCTATACCACTGAACATCGCACGTCGAGGCAGTCGGTCGTTGGGCATACGTAACGTGTCATCAGCATATTCTAAGTCAACAAGTGAACCTCCCGGTAGAAGTTCAACCCCTGGAAATTTAGATGAGGAAAGTGTTATCTCTAAAAGTACGTCGTCGAAAAAGTTGAACAAGAATGGAGAGAGTGGACAGCCCTGACGAACACCACTTGAGGTAATCAATTCTGATGACAGTTCGCCATAAGCTCTCACTCGACCAGTTGTGTTCGAGTAGAGAGCCTTTATAAGGTTAATGTACTTCTTTGGTACTCCTTTCAGTGACAAACACTGCCATAGAACCTTACGATCAACAGAGTCGAATGCCGCCTTAAGGTCGAGAAATACTACCATTGTGGGGCGTCTGAACGTGTGTCTGTGTTCTAGAACCTGACGTAGTGTGAATATCTGATCTATACAACCACGTCCAGGTCGAAAACCAGCCTGGTTTTCTCTAGTCTGCTCTTCACGAGCTTTAGTTAGGCGTCGAAGTATTATTGAAGCTAATATTTTAGACACTATATTAGTCAAACTGATTCCTCTGTGATTGTCACAAGAGGACTTTTGTCCTTTCTTATAGACTGGCACAATCAGTGATTGAGACCAGTCAGATGGGATTACGTCCAGTTCCCAAATTCTACCTAAGACCTCAGTTAATCTCACTGCTAATACTGGACCACCATCCTTAAAAATCTCAGGAGTAAACCTGTCAGGGCCTGCTGCTCTCCCTCGCTTCAGATTTCCTATGGCTTTTTCAACTTCGTAAAGAGACGGAGGACCTACATTAACTTGCCATTCAGGTTGACTGGAGATCGTGGGAAACCGAAGTGTGGCTGAAGGCCAGTTGAACTGATCCCTAAAGTGTTCTGCCCATCGATCCAATCTCCTGGATTGAGAATGTATAATATGTCCATCTTTCTCTGAGATGTTTCGCTAACAGTCGGTTTCCTAATACCGGTTTCCTTAACAAGTCTGAACAATTGTCTGCTATTACCTATTGCCGCTGCCTTTTCCATCTCTCTTGCTTTCGCTACCCACCACTGTTCACGATCATTGCGTAGACTTCTTGTCAGCTTGCGCTTAAGCTGACTCCGCTCTTCATTATGTTCAGAGCCAGGTGGAATGAGTTTCCGAGCATCTATCAGTGCGATAGATGCTGCTGAGATCCAGTGTTGCTCCCTAACCTTACGGGTTACCTTACTAGCAGATATCACTGCTGTTTCCACAGCTTTTCGGATATCATTCCATGCTGCCTCGGGGTGGGCATCACATACATGGCTGCCTAACTGTTTTCCTAGTTGTTCCTGAAATATACTCTTAGCTTGACTATCATTAAGTAGGGCCCTAAGAGGTTTCCTTGCAGCGTCTTTCCTACGTCCAGTAAGACGCAGACAGATACGCGCTCGTACTAGAGCATGATCTGAATCTAAGCATGTGCTCCAGAATGAGCGACAGTCTTCTATCGAGCCCCTCCATCGGTGGCTGATAGCGATGTGATCTATTTGGGTCCAACGTTGGGACGAATTAGGGGGTCGCCATGTTAAAAGATGTTTTTCCTTATGCTTAAAGTTAGTATTTGCAAGGAACAGGCGGTTATCTGAGCATAGCTGCAACAGACGGTCGCCATTATCTGTTCTTTGAGCCACGGCATCACAAGATCCACCTAGGTGTCTTTCCCTTTCGCTTAGCTTACCTACTTGAGCATTAAAGTCACCAGCCATTATTACTACATCCGAGCGCTCCTACGTGTAGTTTAGAGCGTGGTTTCAGGAGACCAGGAATAGCGTTCCGCGTACTCGAGTCGTTCGCCCTAGCGGGGCGAGGTGATAGAGACGTGAGGTGGGTTAGTCATGGAGATAAGAAAGGTATTAGGAGGCGTAGGAAGGATTTGAATGTGACCAACTTGGTCTCGTGTGCTGTTACGGGTATGAGGGCTGATATCACTTCCCGGCTGCCCACACTGTGGAAGGGTATTTCTTGAGGAACCTGAAATAGAAGTCGGATTAGTGTTGGTCTTAACGACCTGGGAGCGTGACCGCAGAGCCCAAGGGACAACTGCCTGAGGCCGATCGCGCACGGCCTTTTGGTGGAAGGTTTTTAATGTGTTAGCTCCGTTTTTCAAAGGGTCTTACCGCCGGAGACGGAAATCCGTGATGTAAGGTGAGGTGTGGCATTTTTAGGGTCGACCTTTTCTAACCCCACCCCTCCTTGTGGGAAGGCAGCATCGCTGCAGATGCTGGTTTTCCGAGGGAAACACCTTACTGCTGTCACACCCCCTTACAGTCAGCAGTACGACTTCGCCCTCAGACCTTGAGTGATACAGTTTGGTCTTCACAATGTATGTTCTATCCACTTGAGGCTTACTTACTTACGCCTGTTACTCCCAATGGAGCATAGGCCACCGACTATTATTCTCCAACTCACTCTGACCTGGGCCTTCCTTTCTAGTTCTACCCAATTGTTGTTCATTCTTCTCATGTCTGTCTCCATTTCTCGGCGTAATGTGTACTTTGGTCTTAACCTCCTCATTTGGCTTTGAGGATTTCAAGGGAGGGCTTGTTTTGTGATGCAGTTCAGTGCTTTCCTCAATATGTGTCCTATCCACTTCCAGCGCTTCTCCCTGATTTATTCCTCCGATTTGTGTATGAATTTATGGGGGAATATTGCACCACCCATAATCATTTTGTTGAGGGCATATAGAATTGCAAATCTCTCATCATTTTCGTTCCTTTCTCCTAATCCATGTCGTCCCACGATATCTTCATAACCGTTGTTGTTCATTCCAACCTTGGTGTTTAGATCTTCCATCACGATTGTCAGGTCCTTTACTGACAGCTTCGCTATGATCGATTGTAGCCTCTCGTAAGTTCACTTTGTGCTTTTCGAACAGATTCAGAATGACTCCCTGTCAGTTCGGGGCATTCTATTTTTCGTGACCAGGGTACAGCAGCATCTCTGCTGAATCCATTCTTTTTTGTCCAGCTTGGGTCAAATGGGTTTCGCTGAGTCCGATTACTGCCAAATTGTATCTACTCATTTCCGTAGCTGTTTGACTGGTTCTCCCGGTTTCCCACATTGTCCGGACATTCCATGTACCCATATTGATTTTTGTTCTGGTTGTTGGAAGGTGCATCGGCCTCGTGACTACCGAAGAATCTGGGCTTTCATCATGAGGCATCATAATTCTTCTGCATGACGATCCTTCAACCCGGAGGGCACACTTTAAATGGTTTAATTAGTCTAACCTAGTTAGCGTTTTTATAGCAATGTTGTTATCTACGGGATGGGGTTGCCGATCTCATGCCCGACCCTCCTCTTTTGTGTGTGCATGGGACTGACAGTAACTCTAGAAGAGCTACAGGCGGAATAGTATTTACTCACTACTAGATAACATGTTGTGTTGAAGTACGATGTAATTAGTTTTACATAATGATTATTTATTTGCTACATTTTTTCCATTCAACAGGTATCGCTTATAATTGTTAATGTTCTCTGGTCAGTGTTGGGTAAGTCATTTCTGTGGCTACTGATGTATCGTGTATTATGTGGTGCTGCACGAGCAAATGTCGGTGTTGTATCAGCACTTGTTGGCGATATCAGCAGTGATACGTTGCGTACTAAAAGAATGGCGGTTGTTGGCCTGGCTTATGGTATCGGATTCACTGTAGGACCACCATGCTCAGTTATCTTACTTAGCCAGTGGAAAGTACACACATCAACTGAATACTTGAGCTGTATGCTGGGTTCTACGTGTTTGCTTCTTAATTGTATAAATCTCTTAATCTTGATTTTTGCTATGCCGAGTACATTACAAAAGGTATGTTTTCTCATGTTATATCACGTTTCTGCAAATTATTCTTTAACTGACGCATTTGTAAACATCAAATTTTTTTTATTTTGAGCTTAATTTTTTAATAATTTTGTCCTCCGTAATTCCAATCAGTCGGTTACGAAAGTTTCACTTTGCAACAGTAGATATGCTTTAGACAAATATCTTGAAACTGAGGGTTATGCAGATTATTTATCCGAACCGAACACATCTCACACTTTTATGACTTCAGTCAGTCAGCTACAACGTAAGACCAGGTACATATATGCATCGGTCCAAGTTGCCATACCGCATTAGCACAAGAAGATGAACACCGGATTCATTGAAGTAGTTATGTCAATGGTGGTAATATATTAAAGAAAGATTGTATATAAAGGTATATTAGAGGAACAAATATTTAGTACCTAGAAAGAAAGATATGAAGCGATTTTAATCTCATAGTTTAAGGGAAGACAAAGAGTGTATACACCTATGCCATTATGATCGATTCTAAGCCATGTCATTCAGCATCTCCAACCATTGGTTACGATAGTCACGCGGACCCCAACCAAGTAGTCTGCATCTACCAACACGGCTCAGACCAGAAGTTAGTGACTTCAAGCACTGATGCCACGTTTTGGTTTGGCCACCCCTTACTTTCTTCAAACCATCTGCAACACCGGTTAGGATTGCACGTCGTGGTAATCGATGTTCGGGCATACGTAACACGTGGCCCAACCATCTCAGTCCATGAAGATTCACAACCTCATTAACTGATTTACCATCATTCTCTAATACCCTGGGTCTAACCTCAATATTACTCACCCGGTGATCCCAGCAATATTTCCAAGACATCTGTGGTCAAATACTAGCAACTTATGGATATCTTCAACTTTTAATGGGCACGTTTCGCAGCCGTAAAGTAAAACAGAACGAACTGCCGCGAGGTATACTCGTCCTTTCATTGATAGACTGACATCTCGCCTTTTCCATAGGTGACAGACACAGCCACAGAACCTCTCGGTCTACAGAGTCAAATGCTGCTTTTAAGTCAAGAAGGACCACCATTGTCGAACCCCGATAAGCATACCTGTGTTCTAAAACTTGACGAATAGTGAATATGTGGTCGATGCAGCCACGACCAGGTCTGAAGCCAAATTGATTTTCTCGTATTTGCAGTTCACGAGTCTTAGTTAGGCGTCCGATAATTATCGAGGCTATTGTTTTCGATACTATATTAGTCAAACTAATCCCTCTATGGTTATCACAGGATGATTTTGACCTCTCACATATTGGGAAAATCAGTGATTATGACCAGTCAGTCACCTGCTACGAGTACTATGTCTAAACGTTTAGTTTTCTGAAGAGGTTCAGATAGCTTTCTGTAAAATTCATCCTTCACTTCATCCGAGCTGCAGTCAGTGGGAGCGTAGGCAGAAACGCCAAAAGGCAACGACTCATCAAGTGGATAGGACAATACATAGTGGAAATCATCAAACTGTATCACAAGGCGAGCGATAACTTGGAACCCTGAAGGGAAACGGAAAAGAGGATGACCACAGAACACATTGTGTCGGCGATTGGGAGCAGATATGAGAAGGACTGCTCAGGAAAGAGCTGGACGGCGAGTTCCGGTGGGCGGCCTATGCTTCTCCATGAGTGGTAACAGGTGTAAGTAGTGTCTTTGTGTTTTTTCGTAGTTATACTAAACTATATTAATATTAAAGTTAAAAAAAGAGTTCGACGGACTTTAGTAGAATTGAAGTTTATAAAAGGCCATGTGAACGGGTAAAAAATGTCTGTGTGTTTATTTCTATTTTTTCAGGGCGGAGATATCGGTCTATTAATCAACCAAGCAGTACGTTTGATAAATCCGGTGAAGTTGTTTTCACTAACTGGCACAACGAAATGTCCTAAATGTGAGTTTAGTTTGTTATTCAACTCCGTATTTTTTTATGGGGATTATCCGTTTAGTAATTGCCCTTATGCAATAGTCAGTTCGTAAAATTAAACACTAACCCGTATTTACCTAATGTCTTACGTAGATGAAAAATCTTTGCGTCATTTGGCATACTTTTGGTGCGGCTACTTGTGCGTATACTGCGGAATAGAATATACAATACTGTTTTTGGCTAGAATCCGCTTTAATTTCTCAAGGTCAGTTAGTTTCGGATAAGAATCCTCTCATTCTCATAAACATAACTGTTGGTATACGGTGGTCGTGTCTTTTGTTTATTTAGGATGACAAAAGTCATCAGTTTGTAGGTGAATAATTAATCATTTGCATCAGAATCGAAAAATTACCATTTGCTTATATCTATTGATTTATTGTGTTGAGTTTATTCCATATATTTTAAATAAGCTCCAATTACCAAAGGTTTTCATAGGTTTATATATATATATATATATATATATATATATATATATATATATATATATATATATATATATATATATAATAGTATTTAGCATCATATTGAGAGCCCTGATGTTTGATACGCTTCTGAACATGAATCTACCGTTTAACTCTTGCTTCATGCCTAGATGATTAAACGTAGGAAAAAAGCGAAGTTGATGGTTAGAATGAGATTAATGTTATTGCTAAGACTACTTCGGTCTGGGCACCCGGGCAGTATCAAAGCCCACACACACATACACAAATATGGTGTGGCGCACATATATTTGGTGCCCTCTTGCACCAATATTTATTTGTTGAAATAAATAAATAATAAGACTGGAGCAGCAAAATCATTATTGGTTTCGAAGTATTTTTTTATTGGTAATAAACTATTTATTAGTGCATTTTAATTAGTTGAATGTGTTTTAACCCGTTGTATTGGGATTTGTTGCTTAAATGTGAAATCCTTGTTTATAAAATTAATTTCATTTTGAAATTTCTTATTTGCTAGTGCAGTATGTGTACATACCACTATAATTTTTCTGACGAGTTCTCTTATTGTATCTTATTTCATTTTCGTTACTAGCTCTGATCAAGGCAGAATGTTCGGCTTTATTGGGATAATAATGATTCTAGTTCAAGGTAAGTCGCAAAGAATATTCAAACTGAACTACTAATTAGCGAACTTATAAAATTTCCAATTTCCTGTTTGTTTACTTCATGATAAAGCTCACATATCAACATGCCTTCTCAATTGCTAATGTCTTTGAGGGATTTTAATGAATCTATCTAGGAAATTAACAGAGCTGTGATCTACACATTTTGATGGTTCGTGAATAGATTGCTGATTTCCTAACTGGTAGTTTTGGAAAATATTTAAAGCAATTAGTCCCTTACATAAATTCCGATAGAACAATGAGAAGACGGAGTTGACCTGAAAAATGTGATGTATTTGCGCTATATATTTCGAACGATCTGGTCACACATATTCTTGTCAGGGCATTTTATATGAAAATTACGAAGGGTCAATTAAATGAAAGTTCAAGTAGAAAAGGTAATAAAGGGGAGAGAAACAATTTTACATCGTATAGAAGGAATAAGAAATTGTTGCGTTATCCTAGGCCATAGAATGACTTAAGGATTACCAGGGTGAATTCAGGGTTACGACAAATTGTTTTTGTATACATAAGGGGGGGTTAAATTTACAAATGGCCAAGGCTTCAATAAACCTGTGAATTCGTCCTCGTTTTGAACCCCATTGAGTTTATCTAATAACTGGGATACCTCAAAATCTTTATCACATATAACTAGTATATCATCCATATGTTCTATACAAAGTTGCCTCGCTAATGATTTAAGATATTTTGAATTAGTGATCAGAATTATACGCTACTAGTACGAACAGTAAAATAGATTCGCTTATGAAACTAGGCAAGTCGTGTCAGAATCATCAATAATGGCCTAGAAATCCTTTCTTACATACTTGTTACTGGGGTAACTGACCTACTTCCAGTTACCTTCTTTTAGGTGATTTACTAACCGAATCTATACCTAAGTAAGTAGTGGTAACTATTCCCTCCGAATCCCATACTTTTTAGAATTATCTAATTTCCAAACCTACGCACTGCTAGGCTTTCACATTTTCCCAATCAAAGGTATAGTTGTAGTTGCCTGCGCATGCTATAATTATCAATAACAAAATGTCCTTTGGCCGCTACCGGACGTTCATGGACTGTTTTAACTTCCCCAAAACTCATTTGACAAATGGAGTAGTATCAACAGTCTTTTAAAATAGTTTTGTAAATCCTATTGATGAGCTTTTCCTTTTGAGTAGTGAGTCTTTCAAATTTTGTAGCACACTGGTGTGCAAACTCATTGTACATTCTAGCTGGTTTTTCAGTGATGAACCGGTAGCGTGCTATTGTCCGTTTGTTCGATGATAATGAGCTTAAAACATATTTCAACCTAAAGATCAATTCATACTTTTAATAGTTTTACTAATAATCAGATTTTGATCCATATCGACCTAGCGGAATGTCAACGATACCCAGCAATAGTAAGACCTAACTCCAAGATCTTCAAAATTCATTAGAAATCTTAGTATGTTGTGTCTGTAAGTACACAGCAATATAACTTGTTTGCTTTGGCTTTATGTCATAATTTAAAATAAATATGACCAGCTAAGATGACAAACAAAATCATGCATCATACATTTGGATCACACTAAGCATTTATTATATATGAATTATTAGTTAGAGCTCATGACTCCTATAATGTTTTGATATTTTTTATCTTGTATACGAAAGGGTAATTTATATTTTTTATCTAAAACTAGGCTGCTTTATACGTAGCTTCAAACTTGGTGGAGAAGACAAAGCCATTACATGGGTAAGTTCTGTTCGCATTATTTTAAAACTGAATTTCTCAGCAACTGCATTAATGACTTTCGTAAGTGGAATAAATGCAGTTAACCTGTATTAATTTTGTAGCTGTGAAATGTTAATTTTTTCTGACTCGGACAGTTTCAATGAATAATAACTTCGCCCGTCGCTCACCTGGAATATAACATTAACTGTTCCCACAGATTTTCGCAAGAATTAAAAGCTTCGAAAAATCATCGACCGGTATATGCCTCTTAAATGAAATATTGGCATTACGAGACTCTAGTAATAACATCAAAGTCACAGATAACCTATAAAAATGATAGCACTTACTATATATCCATTCGTAGTACATTTAGAATTACAGCAAATCAAACAAAATAAAATTAATCCAAGTAACATTAAAGCCGTGCAGCAAGCTGCAGTGATGTGTATTCATTCACCTGTCTTATTTAAGCAATTGCACCCCTAATATTCCCGTCATAAGTTACTTCGCCTCAATACGTATTTAAACACTTCAGAAAAGTGCGAACTCTTCATCGTCCACGAACATCACTTAACATTTAAGAATACAGAACCAGCTTTATTAATTTCGCCTGATAAGTTTACCATTACTGAATTCTTTCCGTCCCAATTTGTTCCTTTCATTGCTTAAGTTATCACGCTTTTGAAATACAATGGCGGAATAATATACCATCATATTAGATTTGACCTTTTGATTTCAAGTTTTGTGTACAACTCAGTCAGTTGCTTTGGTAAACTATCGTTTGACCATTAGTCTCTTCTAAAAATAATCGCCACTCAATATGTCTATTTGAACTCAGTGTGACACCCGACCGTAGCTGCTACCTTGATGCGCTGGTCGGGCTTGCCTATCGTGATGACCCAACCGAGCTATATTGGCTGGAACATATGTTCCTGTAGGTTCTACCATGCCAGGCAGGTCGACTAGAGAACGGTAAGACTAAAAGCAGCAACTCAAGGTCTGAGGGCGAAGTCGTACTGCCTCACTCTACCTGAGGTGTTTGTATATAGTACCTTTAAGATGTTAAGAAACGTTTCCGGTACACCCTCCTCCAATGGACAATCCCAGAGAACAGTCCTGTCCAACGAATCGAAGGCGGCCCTAATGTCAAGTAACACTAAGATTGTAGACATGTGATAAGTATGATGGTGTTCTAACATTTGGCGGAGTGTGAATATATGATCAATAAATCCTCGACCAGAACGAAAACCAGCCTGCTCCTCGCGAGTAAATCTTTCTCGGGTTTTGAACAGCTTACGAAGTATGACAGAAGCCAATAGTTTGGACGCAATCGCAAGTAGACTTATCCCTTGATAGTTGTTACAGAAACGACGTGAACCCTTTTTAAAGATAGAGACAACTGTCGATTCATTCCATGATGTTGGGACACTGACTAATTACCAAACGTTTGTAAACAACGATGTCAGTTCGTTAACCAGAAAGTCACCACCATCTTTAAAAAGAGCCGAAGGTAAGTCATCTGGGCCAGGTGATTTGTAACGCTTCAGGAGTTGGAGTTCCTTGCGGACTTCCGCCTCATTTGGTGGATCAGTCGTCACCGGCCATGGAGGGCAGGACAGTCTGATCGATGTTGCCGCAGCAACAGACTAGTTGAACTGCTCCTCGAAAAACTGCCCATCGTCCAAGACGTCAATGGATGTTAGTGATTGGCATCTCGTCATCCTCACAGATTGCTTAGCTCACACCAGACTTCTTGCTGCCAGTGGCTCGGATGAGTTTGAAGAGCTTCCGACCACCAGGCTTCTCGTTCCTTACGCAAGTTTTGCCCAATTTCATTAAGTAACAGCCCTCGTTTGTGGTCAAACATTCGATTAAAGTGTGTCCTAAAATGGTACGTTTACTTTCTGGACGCTCATTACTCAAGTAGATAGCCTAGCTAACCGGAATTGACTGAATCCATAATGTTTGCAGGGCTGCACACTTTTCTTAGCATGATTTAATTCCACCGTATATTTCCTATCAGTCATTTTGATCTAACATTTTGGGGATTGATCTTTCTGAAAGCTCATTTATCTATTTGAAGTACTCAGATGGTGTAGCATTGTATGGGAAAACACATCATCCGTAAAATACAAGTGTTTCAAACAGATCCTCCCTGTCTAAACACAAAAGATTACACCATTAATGACCTCCAAAATACGGAGTGAATTAGTTGGGCAAGCTGACCACTTCACCTAAACTGGAAATCTTGCCGACTGTGGTGGGTAGGTGCCTGATGAGATGTCACCACGAATCTAGAAAAGTCGGTTGAATTTCCAAAACTTCCATTACTTATGTTGAAGGTAAATTGTCCGTCTATCGACAAAGGGGAGAGTATATTACATATGAGTATTCTCTGCATTAATCTATGGCTGCAAAGCAGCTCTTAAAAGTAGAAGACCTTCATGAGTAGTAACCACTTGACTGTAAGTATCGTCGAACAATTGCTGACTTATGGCGGAACAACAGAATAAGCAATGCTGTAATCTTAGGTCCTGGGTACTAGTAAACAAAAAAGAAAAACTGACTGATACATACTTAAACAAATATTGACTGAAGATCAAACCAACAACAGAGTAACAGTTTGAAATCATGATTCTCTTATTGACACCGTGATACCAAATAATTAACGAAATCTCAGCACGGATACAGAAGGCTTGATTTGATCTTGCCAACTTGCGTCATTTATGGTGTAGGCAAAATATCCGTCTATCAACCAAAGGAAAGACGTACTACTCAGCAGTTCGTTCCGTCCTACTTTATGGCTGTGAAACGTGACCGGTAAGAGTAGAGGATATTCGTATGTTACTAGTATTCGATCATAGGTGTCTTTGAAACATTGTTCGTATGTCCTTGGACCACTGAGTAAGTAATACAGTTGTTAGGAAACGGGTACTAGGTAAGGATGGCAAATCAATTGATGACGTAGTGAAACTTCATCAGCTGAGATGGCTGGGACACGTTACGTATGCCCAACGACCGACTGCCTCGACGTGCGATGTTCAGTGGTATAGGAGTAGGTTAGAAGAAATCTAGGGACGGCCAGAGCAAAACATGGCACAAGTTCATGATGTCACTGACAAGTGTACTGAGTCATGTTGGTAGGCGTAGACTACCTGGTGGTGATCCTCGGGATGATAGCAACCAATGGTTAGAGACCTTGAATGACATGGCTCAAAATCGTTTGCATTGGTGCAGGTGCATCCACTCTTTGTGTTCTCCCAAATTCTAATCTTCTGAATTCTCCATGTCCTTTTTTTTCTTTTTCCACACACACACTTGGGCAATTTTGAAGACGAGTCTGATCTAAGTATGTTGGGAAAGTAAACACTGATGATAAGTAAGAACAAAATCATTAATGCTCAGTTAATGAAATAAGAATATTAACCTAAATGACAGTCTGAATAAAAAGACTTGGTGATGTAATTGATTGGGAGAACGAGTTGAACAAATTTTGACGATGTAGTGAAGGGATATTTGACACCGAAGCAAAGAAGCATTAACAGCAATCTGTTTTCGAACACATAAATCAGATTTCGGACGCCTGATAGCAACGGCTTCAGGAGAATGGAGCTTGGCTGCTGATTAATCCCCAAGAAACACTACAAGACATCAACCTGATATCCTGTATGCAAGAGATGTTTAGTAGTTGTACTTGTTCGTAGGCTTTCTGGAACATGTCTGATAAACCTAAGATATGCCCTCCGTTGTTGAAATATCACGTCTGTCGTTATCAAGAAAGTGGAATATGTCATTCTTTTCGTATTCCATGGTTAATTGTATATTGAAATGAGCATTAATGAAGAATTCCAACAGGTAGATTGCATACTGTCTACTGTTGCAGACAATCAACGTGTCATCAGCATATCTGTAGTAGTCCGTCATTTCGTTAATTCCTTGTCTAAGCTCCGTGTTTTCAAAATAACTCATGAGAATATCTGGACCTATCGGACTTACCATTGCTACACCATCAATTTTACGGCGTATCGTTATTGAGCCGGAATTAAACGTCTTTTGTGCATATATGGATGGATATCCCAAATTCAACAACGCAGTTCGAACGTCGGGTATTCGCTGTTCGTCCTGTTACTTCTTAATAACCGTACAAGGAAAGGTCAGGGTAAAAGAATTACTTGACAATGGCCACAAACACTTGGTCATATAAAAGCATTTTTGGAGGGACAGCTGATTGTCCCTACTCTTGGCTGTATTAGGGCATTTGGAGGCGCGGAGCACGATAGAATAGTCCACACGTTTAACTGCATATGAATTCATTTTATTCAATGTAGTGATATAACTTTACTTTTTCAGTCGAATGGTTACATCTAAAAAGTATTTCTTTAACAATATTTATACACGGCAGTTTCTCTCTATTTTCTTTCTTAACAGAGTTCTTGCTGTTTGATTTTGGCGTCTGCCATTTTCAGTTTCGCCACAAATATTTTCGTTTTCTATATCGGACTAGCTTTATATGCATTTGCATCCTCCATCTTCTTTCCGAGTGTAAACGGTTTGGTTTCTTTGTACACTACTGCAGAACAACAAGTATGTTTAGAAATATATTTAGGTGTGAGTGAAAAATTGCATGTACCTTAACCACTTCCTTGTTATATGACGGAGACTTCCTAAAAACACAGAAATCGGAAGTGCAGTTCAAATACTTTTATGATATTCTTGATTAAAACGAATAAGCTGTTAACATTTTCAATTCCGTCTTCAAGATAATTGGAACTTTGCAACCAACTCCTATTAAACACACACAAAAACCAGGTTTTAGCTTTCTGTTATTTCGCGCAGTACTCGAGACTAACACAGAAAATTCCTGTATGTATCAGAAGTCTTCACTCACTCTGACTGACATACCTGAACTATTTATTTACACTGTACAACGTATCTTTTCCTTACAAATATTTTACAATATAACATAGATGAGTTTTCTCACAATACATATTTGGTAACCACAATTTTCCGGGAACATCTTTAGCTTTCGCAAACAGGACCTCTGTTAATAAATTGCATTAATCATCTGTTAGCTTTAGAAATGTGACGAACATAATGTATCGCAGAATAGAGCTTTTTTGTAACACAATGATCAGTGTTTGCTGTAGTCGGAGAATACTCCTATAAAAGTGCTTCTGTCTTCAGTCTAAGAAGCATCCTATCCTGTTGCAACATAATCAATAGAATTTCTGTTTAAAATGCGTTACATGATACTTCTTACTTGGTGTCTAAACAACAGGATGTAGCGATTTTGAGATCAGTTTACATAGTTCTATCCAACATTTTAGATGCATTTGCAATTTTCTCTACTTATCACCGTTAAAATTTTTCTAAATAATGGGTTTTGACACTACGTTCCTGCCACTGATAACAACCCACAGAGTATTTTGTTTGTTTAAGTAATATTTGGTCAGGGCCAGTATCGATGTAAAACCTCCAATTTTATCTGAATTTTAGGGGCAAACGTTGGGTATATTCCGTTCACTGAATGCATTGGCTCGTGTCATGGGTGCGGTGATTGTTACTACAGTTTTTTGGATTTATGGACCTAACATAACCTATATGTTATGTACTGTCTTCTTAACTTTACTGCTTACTTACAGGAAAATTACTTTAGTAGTAACTAAATGTCAGTCCAAACAAACGTACAAGGATGAGTAAATCAGCAACAGACCATCAGGGTATCCTTTCTCACAAACTGCTGTACAGCTACTGCTAAACAGGTTTCTTTGTCATTAATTGACTCAGAATACCATGTACCATCACCGAAAATCTCCCAAGTAGTTTGATAAATGTCATTGCTGTTAAAATTAACCAAATTCTTTTAAAATTAAAGCAGTGACGTAAAATAAATATTGTTTTTGGTACATAATCTCAATTCTTCCACTTACGCCTGTTACCCCTCATGGAGAAGCATAGGCCGCCCACCGGAACTCTCCATCCAGCTCTGTCCTGGGCAGTCCTTTTCATATCTGCTCCCAATTGCCGACACAATGTGTTCCGTGGTCATCCTCTTTTCCGTTTCCCTTCAGGGTTCCAAGTTATCGCTCGCCTTGTGATACAGTTTGATGATTTCCACTATGTATTGTCCTATCCTCTTGAGGCATCTTTTCCTAACTTCCTCTTCAGCTGGAAGCTGGTTCGTTCTCTCCCATAGTAGGCTGTTGCTGATAGTATCCCGTCAACTGATCTGGAGTATCTTGCGTAGACAATTGTTTGCAAATACCTGTACTGTTTTGATGATGGTTGTGGTAGTTCTCCGCGTTTCAGCTTCGTACAGTACGACCGTCTTCACATTCGAATTGATGATTCTGGAATTTTGATGGATTCAGATTTTCCTAGTGATACATTCTTCTCTAACGAGATTTTTAATAAATTTGAAGAACATATTTCAGGAGAATCAATTCTTAATTATGTCATAGCAAATGTCGTTTGTTCTCATAATATATTTGTTTCTGGTCGAAAACTTAGTCAATGTGAAACAAATTCGAAATGAACTCACACGTAATCATAGTTCGGATGATCTCGTACCGAATGCTGTAGTTACTTTTAGTGGATTCTCTAGTTAATGTGAGAAATATGCTTGAAATAAAGCCACATTATTTGTAACTTGAGAATATGAAGATCCAACTTTATTTCGCGGGGAGAATGATGTTAGGATTCAAAGTTACCTATATTTTTTAGACCAGGGTTTAAGCTCCAGATTTAAAAAAAGGTGTTATATGTTAACGAAAAATAAATGAATGGTAACTGTTTGGATTTATTTATGGACTATTATCACATATATTCTTATTGTGTAATCACTAAGTAACTATTTGTATTCTTACATTTGACCTATTGACCATTATCACACGATTTACTATTCTTAAGTTATTCTCAATTTATTAGTTACAGTCTCACACACTCAACCACTTTTGTCTTGATCTTGTATAGTTGTTGTTTTCTATTTTATGGCATGATGCTGTCTGATTTGTTTGCATATTAACTGGGAATGTCTGAAATAAATGAATCAGACAGTGTTGTATGCTGGAATCGTTTTCTGCACTGAAACGGAGAAGGCTAGATGAGAACTGTCTTGACGTTCGTGTTGAGGATTCTGGCTTTGGTGTTGGCTGACAGTTGTCTTGAGTTCCATATGTTCTTTAATTGAAGGGGTGTGGCCCTTGCTTCGCCAATCCTCGCCTTTACGTCTTCACCAGATCCCCGATATCAGTTGATGGAGCTACCCAGATACATGAAGGCTCCCACCTCTTCCAGAGCTTCTACATCAAATGTGATTGAGTGGGTGTACTCCGTGTTGTATTTTAGGATCTTGCTTCTTCTTTTGTGTATGTTGAGGCCTAATGCTGCAGATGCAGCTGCTACACTGGTTGTCTTCATCTGCATTTGCTCGTGTGTATGGGATAGAAGAGCCAGGTCATCTGCGAAGTCTCAATCATCTAGTTGCATGCGAGCTGTCCATTGTATTCCGTGCTTCCACTGAGATGTGGAGGCCTTCATAATCTTGTCAACCACCAGAAGAAAGAGGAATGGAGGGAGTACACAGCCTTGTCTCACTCCAGTCCTTACTTGGAATGAATCTATCGGCTGTCCTGTTCACTGGGGTCGACTTATTCAAGAGTTTCCCAGTGTTTACCCATATGTCCCTCTGTTCTTGAGCTTCAGTGATTGGCTTGTCCTTTTTGTCCTTGACTGATCTCTCTGGTTTACAATATCTCCCTGTCTCTTTCTTTGTTGTGTCATTTAGTTTATTACATTTACCTCTATTGCAGCTTTTTCCGCTGTCTGTGCTAGCTTTCCCATGTATTTCTGCTTATCAGCTTTAATGCTGTTCATCCCTTGCTTGTTTGCTGGCTCTTTGTTCTTCTCTTGAATCTTGGCGAGGGTCTCGATGGAGATCCATTCATTACGGTGATGCTTGTTGCCGCCCAGCGCCTTACGACACGGAACTATTGTTTCTTTGATTCCTTCCCAGTTGTTCTCTATAGTAGTTTCTTTCAGTAGATCCTGTAAGGCTTGGAACCTGTTGTTGAGAGTTATCTTGAATTCATTGAGTTTGTCATTATGTCGAAGGAAGGCTTTATTGAGCTTTTGTGATGGTGCTTCTCCAGTTGCCCAGTGCCTCTTTATCTTCGGTTTCTTATTGTCTTGTCTTTCTCTGTTCTTGTTCTTCCTTTCTTGAGTCTAGACCATCAATATATTCACATCCCTTCCTGAGCACTTCGCTATGATCGATCGCAACCTTTCGTAATCAGGTTAGTGTTTTTTAGCAGTGTTGTTTTCTAAGGTATGGGGTTGCTAAACTTTAAACAATCCTCCTTTGTGTGGGCTTAGTACTGGCAGTAACACAGTAGTGAAGGAGAACACAGGTGAGGATATACGAATCTTGTTTTTAGCACAACATTACAGAGTTTCTTGGTAAAATAGAAAAACCATACTATAATACCTAGTTTGCAAAATGTCCAGTAATTGTCTCGGACTTCATTGTTCTTGCATTTCTATACTAATTGCTTTCTATTCCCGTTCTTCCTTTCTTGATCTTCCCAATCTTCTGCTGCCATATATTACATTCCTGACTCGCGTTATATGCTACGTATATCAATATAAGTAGCAGCCCCCAAATGCTCTGGTACGGCCGAGAGTGGGGAGAGTCCGCTCTCCCTCTCGAAATACTCTCACACGGCCACGCGTATACAGCCTCTGCCAGGGAAGTCCTACTCATTGCCTTCTCGTGGCGGGGAAGTTGTTTACGAAAATGAGAGGACGAAAAGCGAATGTCCGGCGCTTTAACCGGATCCCAAACCAATAATGCATATGGGCTCCAGTATCCTGCGAGAACAAGTGGCATATGAACCAATCGTTGGTCACCGGCTACCATGGGACTGCATCTCCTCACGATGCTTCACTGCCTTGTGGGTTAGACCTTAGGTCAAAGGCTCGGGATGTGGCCCCCTAAGATAACCACCCGCTTCGGCCTATGCACCCGGGTAGTATCACATCCTACACACAAATATGATGAACTGCCTATAATTATGGAAACTGCTTTATATTCAAATGATTATTATTTACCACATTATTCACCCTCTTTTATACTTATACAGCGGCTCGTCTTTGGTGGAAATTCGACTGTATCTAAACGTTCTCGAGTCACTGTCCGGTTGAAAATTGTATGTTACCACCGAATACGAGGACTGAAGCAGTTTTCTGAAACCACGTGCACCATTCAAACTGGCTGCCTTCAACGTTCGCACATTTATGCAGGTCGGACAACAGATAGGGCTGGCTATGTCTTTGGAAAGTCTTAATATCGACGTTTGTTGTCTATCCGAGACCCGTATTCAAGACTCTGGCGAAGTACTACAAATTCGATCTCCATCTGTCGCTTCGAAAAGCTTGTTTTACGTGCGCTTATCCGGGGACCCTGTGGCATCTTCGTCTGGTCTTGCTGGCGTTGGTGTCGCACTAAGCGCTAGAGCTGAGGCAGCACTAGTCGATTGGATCCCCATTAACAGTCGGTTATGTGCTGTTAGATTAGAAAGTTCCATCAAAGTGAGAAGAAATCGGCGTGAGAAACGATGTCTTTTCGTCATCTCCGCCTATGCCCCGACAGATTGCAGCCCGGATGCAATCAAGGATGAGTTTTACCACCAGTTATCAGTTCTTCTCCAGAAAGTGCGTTCGACAGATATTGTAGTACTAGCCGGAGACTTGAATGCTCAGGTCGGGCGTCTAGGCACAGAAGAGAGTCGTTTAGGTGGCCGATGGGGACTCGTTGGTCGCAGGTCAGATAACGGGGACCGTCTACTGCAACTTTGCACAGACCACAACCTGTTTCTGGCTAGCACTAACTTTCGGCACAGTCATCGCCGATGTGCCACCTGGCGTCCTCCCTCTGCATCTCAAGCCTGGACTCAGATTGATCACATCGCGATCAGCTACCGCTGGCGTGGTTGTGTACAAGACTGCCGCTCCTTTTGGAGTACCTATCTGGACTCTGACCATGCCTTGGTCTGCGCCAATCTTGCCTTACTTTTCAGTGGACAACGAAGTGACCGCCATCAACGGATTGATGTTAGCAAGCTGGTTGCAACTTCTGTTGCAAGTAAGTATCGAACCGAGCTAGCCTCTAGGCTAGCTACCACTCCACCGAAAAGTATAGATGAGCATTGGTTGCAATTGCATGACGCCATGAAAATGGCGGGAACAGTCAGTTGTGGGTTTGCGAAACGTCCCGCTTTAAGCACTGGGTTTCTTCTGGTTCCTTACAACTCATTGAAGCCCGTCGGTCTACTCCGGGTGACCGTGAGTTTGACCATAAACGAAGGATGTTACGTAAGGAAATTGGGCAAAGCTTGCGTAAGGACCGAGAAGCCTGGTGGTCGATGCGTGCTAATGAGCTGGAAGCAGCAGCTGCATCTGGTAACTACCGGAAGCTCTTCCAACTCATCCGAGCCACTGGCAGCAAGAAGTCTGGTGTGAGTGAAACAATCTGCGAGGATGATGGGATGCCAATCACTAACATCCATCGACGTCTTGGACGATGGGCAGAATTTTTCGAAGGGCAGTTCAACTGGCCTGCTGCTCCGGCAACATCGGTCAGACTGTCCTGCCCTCCATGGCCGGTGACGACTGATCCACCAAATGAGGAGGAAGTCCGCAAGGAACTCCAACTCTTGAAGCGTTACAAATCACCTGGCCCAGATGACTTACCTCCGGCTCTTTTTAAAGATGGTGGTGACTTTTTGACTAAGGAATTGACGACGTTGTTTACAAAGGTTTGGGAACTAGAGAGTGTACCAACGTCATGGAATGAGTCGATAGTTGTCCCTATCTTTAAAAAGGGTTCACGTCGTTCTGTAACAACTA